ACACAAGGATTTCCTCTTTAACTTGATTTTTTTTTTAAGGGGGAGGGGGAGCAGAGAGAGAATTACCAACCTTTTAAACCCACATTCAGAAGTAGATGCCATCACTTCCCAGCAGTCATAAAGCAAACCAATGGACTGTGTCCTTCTGGCTCTTGTTAGTAACCTCTTTCTTCTTGAGATGATGTACCTGCCTCAGCAGCAAGCAGCTTGGAATATACATTATCTTGTCCTAAAAGCCCCTTTTATGCAGGAGACACTTTATCCATGTTTTGTCAGAGACCCATATCCCTTCCTGTACATGAACATTTAAACTCCCACTCTCAACAGACCAAAGGTAAAATACCTTTAAGGTACAATCCTTACAGCTGACCTCCTGAACAAAGCCCACAGTCACACCCCAGTAAGGACAACTGCTCTACAGTGGGAAGCAGCACCTGTAACTAATAGCCAAGCATCGAGTCTATCTTCACCTACACCTGTGTTGGATCTCCTGTCTGCAGCTCAAAGAAATAACAAGACACACATTCTTCACGTTTTCCAGCATCGCTTCACCACTAGGCTGTAAACATGACACCGTTTGGATCAGGAGATAAATGTCGGTAGGGGAAAGGAAGGAATCTCAGGTCACAGAAAAGAGCCATGTAGAACACAAGTAGGACAAAAATACAGAATTTTTTAAAAACAAAATAGATTAACTTATCCACACCATGGCCTCCTAGGGTGGGCAGCATGTTGGGAGACACCCCTTCCCCCTGCTGCCAGGAGAAGCAGGCAGCTGGCTGCAGGGGAAGGCCCTCTTCTCCCTGGCTCAGTCTCTGACCTAGGAGTGTATGTGGTTCCTCATTCAGATGACTCACATCACCTCATCAAACCTACAGCTGCTGGGCCCTGCGCTCAGGACTTTCCCTCCCAAGCAGGCAAGGTGAAGAGTGTTTACTGCTGATGCTCCACCTTCCAAGCACTGTAGCAAACACCTTTTCAACACTCGGGGACTGAGACTTACGATTCTCCATAGTGCTGATCTTGGCTATGTTTAGGGCACATCATGGATCTCTCCAGAGGCAAAGGTGATGTGCAGAAGATAACACCCAATCCCAAACTGCCCACCATTACTAAAGATGCATGTACTAATTCAGCTGTTTGGCGGTTTGTCACCAACCACAGAAGCCAAATTCCTCTCTCTCCTCCCCATTTAATAGAAGGCACATCCATCTCCTACTCCTCAGTCTCACACCACAGACACAAGAGCTAGAGCTAGAGCTGAAATTCACTGCTGGGAGTAGAGAAGGGGATACCTCTGCCCATGTCAGTGCCCCCTTTCTTAATCGTGATCTCATCTTCTTTATTTGCCTTGCAAAAATTGACAGCCTTTGGCCATTACCCACATACCCCACAAGTCTGAGGCCTCCCTCCTCTTTCCCACCTCTCTCTGCCTCTACTAATTCTCTGCAGAGCCTCGTTTCAGGGAATACGTGATTCTTTTAGCACTCAGTCTGCTTTTTAAGCATAATTATATTTCTTATTATATTGCCCGACTAGGTCATCTCACTCAAGCACAACAATGTGAAGGCTGCACATCAGAAGAAAGTATAGACTTATGGTACAGCCCACATCTGCAAGTTGAGATCTGAAGTCTGCTCCTGGCCACTAGCCTAGTTTTGTTACTCTTATCTGTGTTTTCTTTTTTGGCTATTATTCTTTTTCTTCAGCTTGCCCATGAAATTACAATATAGTTATCTGCCTCATTAAGGTATTTGAGTGTTCAGCTATCAATCTGCCCTCAGAACTTTGGAACAAGTCAAGAGACTTTAACTTCTGAAGTATTAGTTACACAGCAGTGGCTCCAGGACAGTATTTTCACGAAGAAAAAGGCTGGCTGAGAAATAAAACTTTACATGCATTCTCTTAAGTCTCGGTTCGGTCCCATTTATTGTAAGAATGATCTATCGTGACCACATCATGGGAACAACAGTGCTGCAGCAGCACTGGCCTGTTCTTTTGATGAGTCATTTCTACATGTGTCAAAAAGCCTGAACCCTCCTTGCAAGTATCACTCTGTGTGTGTGTGGTTATAAACATGCACATCACATGAGTGTGTGGTTATAAACATGCACAACTTGATGAGGAAACAGAGTGCCCCCATCAGTGTCAAGTGTCAGAGAGAACAGTAATTAGTACGCTAGCTTCATCAGAGACGTACAAGGATTTGTATAAACAGGAAAACTAGAATGTAAAGTGAGAACTTAAGTCTGTGTGGTTACATTGGTATGACCCTTTATATGAACATTTTTGCTTCAGCAAGGAGAATTTTTAAAAGAATTTTTAAAAAACACTAGTTCATGATGTTTTGGAAAGTGTCCAACCTAAATTTTAAAAACTGCATTAAGTCTGAACTAAGCACCCCCAAGAGGAATGCTATCAGTATAGCTATGTTAGGTTATCTGTATGGATATGATTATAGAGGCATAATTGGTCAAACTTTCTTCTGCAGAATACTGTACAGCTCTCATTATAGACTTGCTGCTTTGATAAATGTACAGGTCACAAAATCTACATTTGAAAAGGAAAGGTTTTACTCAGTGTTTGCTCTGGGAAGATGGATGCTTTGTTGCATTAATTCCTTTTCATCACTGGCAGTTAAAAAGATAATCTTGTCACCCAGTTTGTTCAGTGGGCGAGAATCGAGTCAGGGACTACTTGCAAGAGCTCAGCCCATACAAGTCCATGGAGGCCACCAGCCTGCATCCAACGTGCTGAGAGAGCAGGCTGATGTCCTTGCAAGGCCACTCTCCATTATCTTTGAAAAGCAACAGAGATCAAGGATGCCTGATGACCGGAGGCGGGGTGGGCAGGAATATTCACACACTGTTTCAGAAAAAGCCAAAAGAACAACTTGGAGAAGACCAGTGAGCCTATTTCTTACATTTAAATGGAATTTCCCATATTTCAGCTTCCACCCATTGCCTTTTGTCCTTTCACTGGGCACCACTAGAGAATAGTCTGGTTCTGTCATCTTTACTGCCTACCTTCAGGTGTTTATACACCTTGACAAGATCCCCCCTCGGGCCTTTTCTTCTCCAGCCTAAACAATCGCAGCTCTCACCCTCTCCCCATTATTTCAGTCTTCAATCCTATTATCATCTTCCTGGCTTCTTGCTGGATACACTCCACTCTGTCGGCATCTCTCTTGTACTGGGGAGCTCAGCACTGGACACAGCATTCAGATCTGTCTCACCAGCACAGAGCAGAGAGGAAGGATCAGCTCCCTCCACCTGCTGGTAACACTCCTCTTAACACAGCCCAGGAAGCTTTCATTTTTGAGGCCACAAGGGTGCACCGCTGGCTCATGGTCAGCTTGGTGTCTGTCCACCAGGACCCCCAGAGCCTTTTCTGCCAAGGTGCTTTCCAGCCAGTTGGCCTGGTGCCTGGGGTTATTTTTCCTCCAGGTACAAGACTCCACATTTCCCCTTGTTGAACTCCATGAGGTTCCTGTCAGCCCACTTCTCCAGTCTGTTGAGGTCCTTCTGAAAGGCAGCACAGCCCTCTAGTATATAAACAACTCCTCCTATCTTCTGCAAGCTTGCTGATTGTGCACTCTGCTCTGTGACCCAGGTCATTAATGAAGGTTTTTAAGTGTAAGATCCAGCACTGATAGGGTACACCAGTAGCAACTGGCCTCCAGCTAGGTTTCATGCCCAGGCCACCGATCACAACCCCTTTGAGCACAGCAATTCAGCCAGTTCGCAACACAACTGGCTGCAATCTACTTACATGGTCCATAATTCACCAGTCTGGGAGGATGTTACAGGGGACAGCATTAAAAGCCTTGCTAAAGTCAAGATAAACAACATCCACTGCTGTCCCCTCATCCACCAAGCCAGTCATCTAATTGTAGAAGGCTATTAGGTTGTCAGGCACGCTCTCCCCTGCATAAATCCATTCTGGCTACTCCTAGTCACCTTCTTGTTCATGTTCGGAAACAATTTCCAGGATTATTTGCTCTATCACCTTCCCAGAGATCAAAGTGAGACTAACTGTCTTATCATTCCCCCCATTCTTCTTGTCCTTCTTGAAGACAGGAAGGACATTTGCTTTCTTCCAGCCCTCAGGAATCCTTTCCATTGCTATAACCTTTAACATAGCTGAGAACAGCTTCACAATGACATCAGCCAGCTCCTTTGCCAGTCATGGATGTGTCCCATAGATCTGTGGACATACCATCTCTTTAAGCATTTAACTCGATCCTTTTCAACCAAGGGTTGATTGTCCTTGCTCTAGCCTTCCCCACCGGCCTCAGGGGCCTGCAATTCCCAAAGGTCTTGCCAGTAGTGACCAAAGTAAGGAAGACATGGAGTACCTCAGCCTTCTCCATGTCCTTTGTCATGAGGACTCCTGCCCCATTTAGCAGCAGGTCCACATTTTCTCTGATCTTCCTTTTGCAGCCAATATACCTGTGGAAGGCCTGTTGTCTTCCACATCCCTTGCCCCATTCAGCTATAGATGGCTTGGCTTTGGCTTCCCTAACTCCAACCCTGGACATTTTCACAGGATTTCTATGTCCCTCACAGGTTATCTGTCCCTGCTTCCAGCTTTTGAATGCTAACAGCAGCCTTCCATACAGATTTTTAACAGTGGTGCGTGGCAGGAGGATGATAGGCAATGGGTATGAGTTGAAACAAGAGAGGTTCAGCCTAGATAAGGAGAACCCCCACCCCATGCACACTTTAAGTGGTAATGTGGTTTTTTTTATCTCTGTCCCCTTCACCTATGGCACTTCTGCATGCTGACCAGGAAACACAGCAGTTGGACCGTGCATTGTCACTTGATCAGCAATGCAAACTGATTCCCAGAGGAACTTCTGTACTAGAGCAAGCATTCTGAGATACTCAGTACTTGTACCTACCACACGTGAATAGGGTGCTCAGGCATTTGGATTTTGTCCAGCCTGTAAAAAAACCAACCAACCGAAAAAAAAAAACCCAAACCCAACAGACTGAGAATTTTTAATAGGCCATTTTTTTATTGAGAGTTAAGATCATGTCTCCCCATGGTGCGCAGAACGCACTATGAAAACAAAATACAGAGGATCACTTTAGTAAATACACACTGGTTAAGCAATGCTACTTTTTGGCAAAGTGCTGTATTTTGTCGGTTTTCAGCTTGTGTTAAACTATTAAAAAAAAAAAAGAGCCAGACATTCTTCCATATCAAAAGGACTGCTACAAATAGAGAAGTGGCTCTGGAGAGAAGCTGCCATATATGCATAGACTGATGTACAGTATTAATCCTAACTGAAATGTCCCTTTTGAATCTTCAAGTTTGCTGTGTAGAAGGCACAGTTTAAAATGCAAATCTGTCTATTGACCAATACATATGAAAATAGTTTCAGCAAGATTCATTAATATCAATCAGTATGAGACAGTGCAAGGCCTCCACTTTTACATGAAAACACACACACTTTAATACAATTCAAAAACCCATATAAAAAGCCACACAGCTCACTATTAAAACAGAAAAGCAAAATAAATCTAATTGCCCAATAGCTTCAGGCACAAAACAGGGCTAGACCAACATAAATATGTAAAACAAATTAACAAAAAGCCATTGATGCAGTACTATCTCACACAATAATATGGTTTCCAATATTATAAATTGAGAAGCACAGCTCTGTGCAACAAAATAGTTTATATCCTGAAAGATATAGGTTTTCATCACCAGAAAGTCATCTAGTAATGTAGTATAAAAAGATCAGTATCTCCCAACTCTAGGAGCAGTCTAAAGTTGCATTTACTTGCCTACTGAGAAGAACAGACCAAGGCTCTCATTGTAATGCCTGGGAGCCTTATACTCTCAACTCCATCTCCCCGTTAAGAGTTAAAGGATTACTTACTCCTTCCAACACAGAGAGGTGGAGACTCCATCTTCCTTCATTTCTCTTTAAGAAAATTAAAGCTGAAGGAAAGTAGTTACGTTTATGTAAAGAAAAATACAGGAAAGCAAAGAATTTTCCTGAGCTAGAAAGTTGGCAGTGAGGAGAAGGAAGTTTAAGCCAGGCAAAAATTTGGAGTGATAAAGGTAGATAATCTGAGGCAAGTAAGAATATTCATGAACATATGAGAGACTGGTGAAACTAGTTATTTGCAGATAAACCAGAGTATTTGGACCACGAAAGAATTGTTGTATGGACATGGGCACATACTGCTGAAGAGACTAGTAACAAAATCCATTTTGGAAACTCATGATGTGACCAATTTAGTTTTCTTTCACTATCCACATGAATTAGTATGTCTTAAAAAAAAACCAAACTAGTGTATCCAGGAAAGCACCTCTTGCTTTTATACATTTAACTATTTGTTAACGTATCTTTGCAACAATCCTAACTAATCCCAGTGAAGCAGCACATCTGCAGTGAAACAGAGGTTATAAATGCCGTTTCCTGTACACTAAGCATGTTCCACAACAATTCCAGCTGCAGAATGTGCAACAGTACCACTACATCGAGGTCAATGCAAATTGTTGGGAGTTTCGCTTCAGTGAAATTGAAGCATTTGGCTAAATTTAAAACACTTCATAGGTCTGGAATAATTCACATTATTGATTTTTCCTAATTTCAGAGACTCCTCACATGACTCCTTATGTAACTTCTGTATATGGACTACTGGAAGACATGGTTGAATGTAATGTTAAAACTTTAATGCCCTAGGCACTAAACACAAGGAAAAAACAGTAAGTCACATTAAACACTGACCAAAAGGGGGATAAACTTATTTCCCCCATTCTTTCAGTACAGACTTCCACTTCCTCACCTCTATAACCATTTTAATCTACTTCCCAGATATCAGGGTTCAGCACGCCACGTGGCTGCTGCGTAATACACGCTCTTTCTTAACAGGTGAACTTCACTTTTTTTAAGTGCCTGCCAACTTCCAAAACATCTTGCACAGTGTTCTTGAGAAAACTACTTGATAGTTTTAAATGGCTTTTCTTTCCTGTTGGCCCACAGAATTGCTATCCAGTCCTCCTGCAGCCAATGGGCTAGGATAACAACCACTGCCGATCTATCTCAATTTTTATACACCCTGTTACCACTGTGTTTAGTTCTGTAAGACTGTTTTTCAGCATCCTCTTTTTCCTGCCAAACACTGCCCTTCATTTCCAGTCACAATTAACTTGGACTTCATTTTCATAGAGAGAGAAAGAGACAATTAGCAGAACTTCTAGTAAAACCTTCCTTCTGGCTACTTTTGAGCTACTCTCAATCTGTAAATATGAGACAATATAACAGCAATTAGCAGCTCAGAAATAGCTATCCATCAGCCTGACTTCTTTAAAGAAGAGTCAGCTACTGATAGGATTAAAAGAACAGTCAATCCACCATCTTTTTCCTTTAACTAGACTAGATATTAAATGAAATAGGGTAGGGGAAATACATCTTTCAAAGACAGAAAGAGGAAGAGTTAGAGAAAGGGAGTAAGAACTTGAACTGTACCAAGTAAAACCCAGTTCACCTCTCTGGGCTGTGCATCTGCACTTAACCCATAGGTCCACTTCTCCTTCCACTCCACTGTGAGGTACTACATTTATAACACCAGTGCCATATCATACTGCAACAATATTGGGGGGACATTTAACCTTTTTCTGATACCTATATCAAGTACCCAACATACCTACACAGACTCCACTAACACAAGTAGGTACTAGGCAATTTAGATTAGATGTCCTTCTTGTAACAGCTCAGCATAGCTATGTAATATCCACCAGCAGCTATAGTATTTCCTTGTTAGAAAGTGATCATATGTGCTGAATACAGACAGATACACAAGCTGTCAAGTACTGGTCATTAAAGCATTCGGCTAACCTCAAGTTTTCTAACTCCACTTTGATTAATGCAAAATGTAACCAATTTCCATCTCAGTTAAGTTTCTTAAAATACCAGCTAAGAACCCACCTATACATCATAGTTTATAAAACAGCACACAAGCTATCATACTGATAGGCTTCCAATACACTGATATTTAACATCATTTAGGACTCGCTGCAAGACGTTTGGAAATTTATGTGTCATTTCAAAAGAATGCAATGCTAATTATGATTGTGTTTGAGGGATTGACAATCAGCTTCAGGTTGACCATACTTACCTATGCATGAAAACAAGAGCAACCTAAAAAACAATTAGACTGTAGATTAAAATCACAAGAGCCATCAGTAATTGAACTGACGCTGGCAAGGCTGGTGAACAAACAGTCCGTTGTGCTTGATTTGCCGAGAGTGGCAATCCCTGGTAAGGTTTTGGCGACGGAGACTGTTTCTGTTGAGATAGTGTCTTTCATTATGTTCTTTTAACCAGTGGGTAGGACGAAAGCTCTTGTTTTTTTCCAGAAAAGTTGAACGAGTAGCAAGAGCTGTGACATAGCAGTGAACATGCTGTCCTGTTTCATTTCGGGCCTCCAGTCTAGAAATGTAACAAGCAGATATCAGTCATCACTGGGTGCATTGGAAAGACATGCAAAGTATAAAGGGCAGAACATGGACATAAACATCCAGCACTTCAAAAGGGCACCCTTATTCTACTGGACAGAGGTGCAGGTGGAGGCGAGGTCAAGCCAGTTAAGAAAAACCACACTAGTAAGTAATGCATAGTGCTGCTAACTCACTTGTTGTGTGAGGGCACCACAATAGCCTTTGGACTTTTGTCTGGTGTCTTATACTATTGCGCCCATCCTTCCCCACCCCCCATTCCCTAAGCCCGAGATGCAATATAGATCAGAAATACAAGGCAATGTGTGTCACACTGCTCCAGCTTTAGAAGACTTGGAGTTATCCACACGGCAAAGTTTGATTTAAAATCATCTTGAACATAGGTGTTTCAGCCTGAAAACAGAAGCACACTAATGAAAGTCTGTTTGGATTGCCAGCCACACAAGCAAATCCAAACAACATCCATGCAGAGCAATGAGAAAGATAGACCAGTTGTGACACACACAGGAAATAACTTGGAAGGATTGTTCCTCAACCAGCCCTCTAGATTTCATGAGCAGAGAGTCAGCAGTTTTGGCAAACCCTTACTCCATCATGCACTAGTGAAAAACAAACCAGCAGCCTATGCAAGCAGGGACTGACATATTGAAAAAGGACTTCCCTACTTGACAGAACAGTCACTGGTGTTTCCTGAAACTTCCAAAGTAAAGCTAAAAATAGCCTGGCAGTTTTAAAAGCAAAGCAAATCCCAGGTCTGAGTGCCACAGCTGGTGTGAGACTAGTGACACAAGAGTTCCTTGCCTTCTCTCTACCCCACCCAGGACCAAACAACTAGCTGTCAACTCAGCGGTGCCCAGGAAAGATGTCTGCAAGACCGGGAGCTAGCTCAGGCATGAGCAAGAGGTCTCTTGGGAAGCCTGTTTTTCAGCACTAGCATGACCCTATAATAAAGTCTCTCCTGGAAGAGGTTAACTTGCATTTATTGTATGTTGTCTCTGTAGACATAAGTCTGGTCTGCCATGCCCATGGTACACCCCCGTAGCCTTGCTCTTGCAGGGCTGCAGGTGCCTCACACAGAAGTGAGCTCTTCTGCCTCCCCCCACTCCACCCTAGAGCAAAATAATCCCTGTCAGCAAGGGAATACTCCCTCCCTTCTACTTTTTTCTTTTAAATATCCAAATCCACTTGCTTTTGGCTCCTTGGGTAGCTTGATATGACTGACTGAAGCCTACAGACTCCAGAATAGCCATGTGTGACACGCTGGTTTTCCCCTGTTCATTTACTGGATTTTGTCCTAAACCTAGCGCTTGAAATGCAAAGCGAGAAATAACAGAATAACACAGCACAAATCAATTCACAGAGCCTTGTAAATACTTTCTATGCAAATTACACCAGTTTAATTTACATGAGGGTGCCTGCAAATATGGGGCTACTGTTTTCTATATGGGGTGATCCCTTAACATGTTCAACAGCGCTGGAGTCAGAACTCTAAAAGAAGCCTTTCTGGGGAAAGCCATAAGGAGCTAGGAAGCCACACCACACTCATTAGAACTTGTATTTCCCAAGCATGCCCTTGCTGCATGTCATTAGCTATAGCAAAGGGCATCAACGCTAAGACAAACTGTTGCGGTTTGTTATGGAAAAATATGACTAACCTGACAAACGGGGAAGTTTATACAACATCCTTTTGCTCTGAAAGGAATTTAAAAGGAGCAAATAGATTTTCTCCACAAAAGGAGAAAAACTGGTTTAAAATTGCTGATTGAAGGTATTTAAGCTTTCTCCCCTCTTATCAAATACCCTTCCAGCACTGGTTTGCAAACCAACACTCTTCTACTTGTCATCTTAAAGTGAAACTGGGATAGCAGAGGTGGTTTGAATTAGCTAAAAGGCCACGTACTCTTCCGAAATGTAGCATTTTGGCATCTTAGTGGTTGCCTTTGGTAGCCTGGCACTAGCAAGCCCCGGCCACTGAGAGAACAGGGCTGATGAACTCCCATCAAAATTGTCAAAATGTAGTTTTAGAGGCGCTGTGTCTAAAGCCAGAGCGTCACTACATACATTCGCTGCTGCACCCCCAGCATCTATTTTGCTAGAAAGCGTAAGTGTCCTGCTAGTTGTGCTATAGAGCCAGACCTTACAAGAAACATTAAAGGCCTCAGACCCCACCCCAATTAATATTTAAGTAAATTTTCTGCACTTAGCATTTTGGCTTGTTAAAGCAGCTGTAGTTAGGCTTGATCAAGTAACATCATTTGGCACAAAGGTTAGTCCTAAAACCAGTATTGTTTTGGCAGACAAGGCTCTAGAGGAAGCAGTGTTGCTAGCAGACTGATCAAACAAAAAGCATTGTCCCAAAACAGTAGTACTTACTGTGCCAGTGTGCCTTAAGCAGCTTTTCTTGGCCCTACAATGTTAAATGGCCAACCATTAAACCACTAGAGACTTCAAAACAGCTTTTGAAACTTACTGCATTATCAGTATAAATTGATGTTCCCAGTTCTGTAGTCTACCTCAACTTAAGTCTAAAGTCTCCTCCCAGTTCTGCCACCCAAAATAACCTATACAAAAGCCCAGATCCTCTGACAAAGCAACAGCACAGGATTCAGTGTGAAGAAACTCAAGCACACACCAGTTGAAGATCATCACACCTTTAGCTTCCCCACACATTAAAACAGCTTAACTGTACTGCGTAACATAAGACAGGATTCTTCTCCAGAAGAATTTATACTAGTATTCCCAGTTTAAGTCACTGAGAAGTCAGTATCTGATTTTGCATGTTACTATCCACTGCAAATTGATACTTTGGATAAACTGGTCTACTGTCTTTCACTAGGGCATGCCCTACAGTCTACCATTCTCTTGCAGATTCCTTCAGACCCTTGTTTTAAAAGGTGCTGTATGCTATTCTCCCCGATTTAAGTTAAGCTACACCCTTGATGCTTAACATCACAAACTGCCCTCCCCAAATTATACAAGTCCCCCACTCTAAGATTAATGGTATCAGCACTATACTTCAATATTATACAGCAGCATGTCATCTCAGTCACCTGTTTCTTTGAACTAAGAACTTTAAATATGGCAAGGAGCTGATCAGAAAAGTCAACAGGCATCTACCTACAGGAAATCCACTACTACACTCATTTTTTCCTGTATAACAAAGCTTAGTATACCGTTTGTTTTTTTTAATTGATTCTAAGGGCAAGTACCAGATTGGATAAAAAAAAAATCAGCCTTTGTTATTAACCAGGATTCACAAAACACCCAATTATTTCCAAATCAATGAACACATGGGCAAGTGTGGAGTCATAATGGCAAAGATATACTCTATTTGTGTACATCCATGTATACTATACTTGTATAGCTGTATATACTGTACAGTTAACACCAAAGCAGCAGCGCATGGCAAACACGCCTCTGCAATAATCCCACATGGCCAAATCTTTAGGACTCAAAACCAAAAAGCACAACTTCTTACCGTGCTAAAAGTATTAGTTTGCAGCACAAATTTTTACCTTGAGGGGAGTAAGTTCTGTGGAATATTTCAGTTTGCTTTTGTTCCACAAACCGCCCGTGGAAAAATTTAATCCTGTCCTAATCTATCACTACCTTGAGGAAAAAAAAAACAAAACAGACTTCCCTGTCAGGATAATTAAAGTAATATTTTTCACCTCATGAGGTAACTGAAAGGGTACCAACTTTTTCAAGTTATGAAAAATACACATAGCTATGATGGGGGCAAAGTGTTTTCAAATCTATGTTACCAGCTACACAGTTAACTGCCACCAGTTTCAACAGGACTGGAGCACATTCTGCAAGGGAATAATTAGGCTCCATAAATATTCATTGCAGTGTCAAAATAGAATACCCAACTGTTTCCTGACACAGTCATCTTGCATAACATTTTTCTAAGCAGGCAGGCAGCCCTGACCATCCTACCCACCTTGTGCAGTATTCATGCTTTATTCACTTGCTCTGAAATAAGCTGGAAAATTCAGTATTAAGTGTCTAAGCTGATCAAGTAGAAACCAGATATTTTCAGCAACAGAGCTCCTTGACAAGAGAAGTCAGACGTACCTGGGACTACCCGGGCCGCAAAACTCCTCATCTCCACATCCAGTCTCATTAAGGCTGTGACAGGCATTGTGGACAGCATACACAGACATGCTGGGATGCTCTATTAGGAGGTTCTCCATTGGACTGGTTTCCACTTTGATAGTGGTTAATCCACCTGCAGTGAAACATGGGGGAGGGGTAATAAACCAGCTCTCCTCCATAGGACACGACTCAAACTGGATGAAGCAAGACTCGCTGGCCTCCGGCAAGTGTTCCAAGGGAGACGGTAAACAAGAGAACACGGGCGAGCCGTCTGCAGCTGATGCTTCAGCGATGTCCGCTTCCTCTGCGGAGCAATTAGTGCAAGTGTCTGCTGCAGGCGGCCATTAGTCAGTGGAGAGGAACCCATGGATGTTGGTGATTGCAGGGGGTTGAAAACAACAAGGTTGCACGTAGCCAGAGATGCAATATAAAAAAAGACAAAGGAACAGAAACAAACCTCTATTAGCACATACACATATTTTTATTTTTTTAAAAGCAAGGGGAGGGGAAAAGGGAGTTCCCTGATAAGCCACACTAGACACGTAAAACAACTGCTATCAGTAAAGCAATACAATTGCGTAATAAGTCAAATATATTTTATCTGTACAAGTGGTTCTGCTGAAGCCTGTGTCAGGCTCATAAACCTGACATCATTTTTCTCATCGGTTTGCATAACATGTTTTGGTACATTCATTTGGGAGACACCCTGCGCTCTAATCCACACTGGTTTTGCTTAGGTAAAGTTTCTCCCAAGCTACTGGTTTCTTCACACGGAAGTAAGAGCCAGAGCAGGACAAAGGCAGAGCTTATGTTTGACAGACATCTTACCTATAAAGTCAACTAGAATCCACTCGTCGTCTTCCTTCTCACTGAACTCTGGCTCTTGGCTGGACAAGCTATCAATCTCTCCCACGAGCATGTTATTTAACCTCTGGAACATTACTAAGGCAGGAGCAAGACTTTGGCTGGTAGGTCTTTATATCCAAGGTTCAAGGCACAGCTCACACTGTACTAGCAGAGTGGCATAGACTTGAGATTAAAGTGCATAGATGCTTTATCAGCTTAGGTACAGGATATGCAGAGGCATGACTGGTAAACAGTTTATGCAAAACCTGCAAAAAACAATGACAAGGGTCTTAATGACAAAGCAACACATAACATTCCTAGGGAACAAATTAAAGACCCTCTCGTTAGCACAGTCTGAGGTACCAGTGAACATTTTTCCCTAAGAGGAGAGGCAGCTTCACTGGCATTCACCATCACCCTCCCAGCTAGATACATACATGAAAAGCCTCGGTCACTCCTCTGAGCTGAGTGCCTTCCTCTCAATCCTCCTCCCCATGCCAAGGTGTGTTCAGCTGTCAGCTCCCACCTTCTCCTATGGGAGGAGAGGACTCTTTTACAAGAGACCCTTGTGCCTACGGTCACCGAGGTGCTCCCCCAGCTCCCTGCCTGTCTTCCTCCTGGTTGGAGAGAGATGCAAAGGGCAAGAGCGTGTTTTCTGCTCCAGACAGCCCATCTCCTCAGTTGACACAGCCTCACACCTCTCCCAGAGACTCCTGTGAGGGCTCCCAGGGGTGCCCAAGGCAGCGTTTCTTCTCTCTCCCATCACACGCAGCTCAGGGCCACTGCTTACAAGTTAACACAGTAGGAAGGCATGTCCCATCTTCAGGTTCAAAGTGCACTACATAGTTACCGGTAGGCTCATTTTCACAGCAAGTGCCCAACTATTCATGTATGGTAAGTCTAAGTAACAAGGAAAAGAAACTCGTATACTTAATTAAAACCAATGTTTATTTCTCAATACACTTCCCTAAATCTACATGTAATTAGTTACCATAAGCCTGAACTCTACATTTGGCAGTTAAGATGAAAAACCCCATTAGTGCCAATAAGCTGAATGTTCAACCACCTCAGATCAGCATGCTTACAGCCTTTGAATATTTATGTGTGAGCCAATAAATAGAAGACATTAAAGTAGCTGAAGAAGCAAAGACTATATGTGAAAAATATTCACCACTTTCACTACAAGTTCATTCAAATACTGCTATGGTGAAATTGTCACAGCATGTCAGAATTATTACAGATTAAATACCCGCTTCATAATTAAATAGGGAAGAAGATATGCATGTAAGAGGGTACGAGTGTCTGCATTCAGAAAGAAAAAGGGAGTAAGACACACTACACTGGACAAACCCAGCCATTAGAAGAAGATACAACCCATAAAGAATATTATTTAAGGCCGGTACACCTTGCTTCACCCTATAACTCTGAGGCCACACTAGAAGGGTCATTCTGGCCTCCTACGTCATCTTACCCCAGGACACCAGACCCCATCATCTACTTGTTCAAAGCAAGGACAAGCACCTACTCCATATAGTACTGCCTCTATAGATATTTATGCAGCTACCTCCTTATTCAAACAGCACAGAAGCATAGGATTAGAATTTAAAGTAGTCTTCAGAACCAACATGAAAAGGTACAGTGTAACTCAAGTGGTTATGCGCTCTAGTTCTTCGACAGGAACTATCAGCTGCAGGAAAATACAAGACTGGCAACAACTGGCTGAGCTGCAGTAGTGATAAAATGCTGGTTTTTAAGACCATGCTTGAAAATGAAACATCTGGGCTCTCTTTAAGAGAGCTACAAGAATGATCAGAAGTCTAAAGAAAACCAGTAAAGTTTAAAAAATTGAAAGGCTTAACAGAGGGGAAAAAAAAAAAAGTCAACCGTAGTCAATTATGTGAAGGAAGAGGCAAACATTTATTCCCTTCTACATTCACAGCAAGGAGAAGTGGCAGAAGTGGCTTTTAACTGCAGTAAAGTTCAATTTTTAGTGGTTACTGGCAGGAAACACTTTTAACCATTAAGGTTGCTAAGCCCTAGATGGGTTACTTAAAGAAATGTCAGATGCCCATAGTGTCCCTATGCGTCTTCTTGAGAAGGCCTGAGCACTTCAATTGTAGCCAGAGTTTGCCACGGATATGGAACTGGACTCCAAATGAAAGCCTGAAGTCCATAGCTTTCCAGTTATCTTCCACATCCATCCCTAACGCTCTTCCGGCACAAGTCCTAGGAACAAAAGAATTTTTTTTTTTTTCTTTAGGCTAACTAGCAAGCCATAGTGTAACTGCTGATCAGCACTGGCTTTCCCTGTACTCCCACATGCATGTGTTGCCTCTTTCCTAGATCAAGACTGGACATACCTTCGGGCAGAGGCTGTCTTTTTGTTCTGTGCATAGAGCAGAGCAAGATGAGAGCTCACACTCCTACATTAAAGCTCCACAGACATCACAGCAACATCAAATAACTAACCCCTAACAAGTGAGAGATGAACGTTCTTGAGAACGTAAGCTAAACAAGCTACAGCTTTTGACCCGTAAATGTCTTCCTGTAGGTCAAGAAGAATTTGTCCCATTGTCCCCTTCCCCCACTCCAAGGAGGATCCAAAAAAACATCTGAATCATTTAGAAACTGGTTGATGTTTTGACACCCTTTTGGACAAGTGCCTTTAAAAACGCCACACTTGCATGCTATTGTGCAAGGCCGGTGGGGACCAAGAAGTGACACTCTTTTGTTATCCCGGGCCACCGTTAGGGGAGGCAAACGAGACCGGGGCTGAAAGCGAGGTACTCCTTCGGCAGGAACTATCAGCTGCAAGAAGAGAGAAGGCTGGGAACAACTGACTCAGCTACAGTGGTGATTAAGAGGCTGTTAGAGATAACACACCCAATGCATGTCAACAATACTGTGCTGCTGCATAAAAAAACCACCTCCCCCCCCCCACCCGAGCAGAGGAGACAGGGCGCATGCTAAGCAAAACAAAAAAACCGAGAAGGCGGCACCACCCCCCCAAATCACTTCTGCAGCTCCCTGCTGCAGCTCGGCCGCTGGCCCCCCGCGCCCTCAGCTCGCCGCCCCTCCCCAACCACCAGGAGGCTCCAAAAAGCCGCTTTCGCCCGGGCCGGCGGGTGACCCGGCAGAGCCCGCAGCAGCTGCGCACCTTCCCGGCTGCGCTCCGGAGCCCGGCCCCGCCGCTGGGCGGCGAGGGAGGGGAGGGGACGGGACGGACGACGACGTGACTCCCGGCTGCCCGACAGCCGGGAAAAGGGGCAACCCCCCCCCCGGCCTCGGGGTTTGCCCAGGAGAGAGAGAAGCCGGGCTGGATGCACGGGGAGACGGGAGCCCCGCGCTGCTGCTGCTTTTCTCCCCCTCGCCCGGGCGGCTCAGACCATTACGGCCCGCCGCGGGTAAGCCGGGACCCCCGCAGACCTGCTTAAGCCCCAAACCCCGCAAGAGCGAACTCACCCGGACCGGACCGGACCGCGCCGCTCCCGCCACCGCGCCGACTCCGCGCCCCGCGGAGCCCTTTGTTGTTATAGCCGCGGCGCGCAGCTGACGGCCCGGCCGCCCCGGCCCCGCCCCTCC